TAAAGGTGTGAAACTTTTTCATGTCGCGATTTCTTGCCGATGCAGTTCGAGGATGCTAGTTGTATAGCAGATTCGGCGTGAAAGTCTGATTATTTAATACGCTTAGTAGTTGCTGCTGCTTCACTATCGTGCTTTTCCTCACCTTTAGTACAAATAATGCTGCTTCCGAAGATGCATTAAGCGAGTTCTGGGCCCCTAAGTGTTCCAGCACGCTGGCAGTTTCAACATTCGTTTCCAGTCTTTCTTTTTTCGCAATTCCAAACAAATATGCTTGCTGTATCGCATTGTCTCCGCTAAATGTGTTGCCATTCACGCATTTGGTCACGGCTGATGCGTCAGTGGTCCTTATAATGGCTATATATATACAAATGGTGGATAGTCTTTCCTGCAGAATTTTTCAAGGATATCATAACCCATGCGCTGATATGCTCAGCAGCATGGCAAGTGACAGCTGTGAAGCGTTCAGGTGCTTGGAGATTTGAAAAAAAAAAATGCACATTTTCAGATGCTGCTACTGCTTATAAAACAAAACATTTTGAAAACCGGAGCTATTTCAAAGAATTCACTTCTAATATGGTAAGCCTTAAGAACTTACTCCAAATTTGTTTTTTCGTCTTCATCGTTAAGGCATTTCACTATGTTGTAGCTATTACGGTGTTTAAGATAGGTGTTTGTGTTCACCACGGCTAAACTAAAACATTGCCAAATGCTTTTCTCAGGGGATCGTTAAGCTGATCTTTCGTACAGAAGATAAACAAATATCAAAATCGTGAGAAAACTAATTGGCAGACAATGCAACTTTGGTCAAGCCAGCTAGAAAAGTTCGCAGTTTTATAGCTGAAGAACCACGCTCTGATTTGCAGTTGATCAGAGTAAATCTTTTTAATTTGCTTGCTTCTTGACAGCTCTTGGAAAGGGAAGTCATTGTTTGTCCTGACAGCGGTAGTTGCTGTTGGCACTTGCTACCACTCGGGCTACTTCCAAGTGGCTCCGTGTCTCAGACCGGGTTAATTCGATGAGGGTGTTGATCTAATGGTAGAGAATTTCAGCATAGTTTTTAGCTGAGCTTACAAAATTTAGTTTGCTTTGCAATTTTTTATTCTCTGGAATTTTTTGTTCGGAGACCTTTTGGCGCCAGTATTGCTACTTCAAATTCAGCTCAAAATGAACACGAATGAAAATGCTGGTTCAGCGGGTAAAGCACATTGTGGTTCGTCCAGTAAAG